ACGCACAGGCCTAGCCTGGCAGCCCCAGACCCCGGCCGCGGGGGACGCCTCGCCGCAGGGGCTGCTGCTCCCCCGGCGTGCCCCGTGTTGACCCCCTGCCTGCTGCCGCGTCACCCCTTCCTTCTGCGGACCCCTGACTTCTCTTGCCAGGGCTTGAACGTCCTCATCCCTGTGCTGGACCGTATCCGGTACGTGCAGAGTCTCAAGGAAATTGTCATCAACGTGCCTGAGCAGTCGGCCGTGACCCTCGGTGAGCGCACGGGGTGACGGGCGCTCTCGGGCCGCTAGGCTGTCGTGGTGGTCTGTCCAGAGCTTCGGGGAAGAGCTGGTTGGGACTTAGAGCGCTGACCGTTTCCTCTTCTCTCCTGCCTCTGTGTTTGCAGATAACGTAACTCTGCAGATCGATGGGGTCCTTTACCTGCGCATCATGGACCCTTACAAGGTGTGTGCGCCTTGCCGCCTCCAGTGTCCCTGTTGCCCTCCTCACTAAGGTCCTGCGTCCAAGCCTCTCACACTGCGCGTGCCCCTTTCAGGCTAGCTACGGGGTAGAGGACCCTGAGTATGCCGTCACCCAGCTAGCTCAGACAACTATGCGGTCAGAGCTTGGCAAACTCTCCCTGGACAAAGTCTTCCGGGTAAGCACGACTGGGCTAGAGCTAAGAGTTTGAAGGCACATATCTTGGCTCTGCCAGACTTTTTTCTAGGGATCACAGTTGGTCCCAGGGACTTTACAGCTTAGCCCCAAGAGGCGGGGTGATGCTGTGGAGCTTACATTTTGCCCCTCTAGGAGCGGGAGTCCCTAAATGCCAGCATTGTGGATGCCATCAACCAGGCTGCTGACTGCTGGGGCATCCGATGCCTCCGTTACGAGATCAAGGATATCCATGTGCCACCCCGGGTGAAAGAGTCCATGCAGATGCAGGTGGGGAAGAGGGCCTCAGGATGTTCCAGCCCCAGGGGGACCTGAGCTCCCTTCCCTGTTGTGGCTGCTAGTGTAGGTCTGTGTGAAAACTTCCTCTGGCTTCCTGTTCATGAGGGCTGTCTGGGTGCTTCCAGGTGGAGGCGGAGCGCAGGAAGCGAGCCACAGTTCTGGAGTCTGAGGGAACTCGAGAGTCAGCTATCAATGTGGCCGAGGGGAAGAAACAGGCACAGATCCTGGCTTCTGAAGCAGAAAAGGCTGAGCAAATAAATCAGGCAGCAGGTGGGCAGCAAGTGGAGGTTTAAAGAGGAGAGGTCATGGCCTTGGGAGGCTGGTGCTGGAATGGGAACTTTCAGGTCCTCTGACCTAATGGACCGAACTCTGCCTCTTTCCTTCCAGGAGAGGCCAGTGCAGTTCTGGCCAAGGCGAAGGCCAAGGCTGAAGCTATTCGCATCATGGCTGCGGCCCTGACACAACATGTGAGCGCCGCCCGGGCAGGAGCAGGACTCAGGAACTGGTGGTTGAAGGGGTTTTTCTCATCCAGCCTTTGGGGTGTTCCCAGTGTTGTGGGCCCTGTTGAGCCAGATTGCGTGTGTTGGTATTACGACCTGCATGCTTTCTCTTTAGGAATCTGCATTCCTCTTTCCACCCTCTTCTTTTCCAAGTCCCTGATCTCTGATTTCATCTCTTTGTGGCCACAGAATGGCGACGCAGCAGCTTCACTGACGGTGGCTGAGCAGTACGTCAGCGCGTTCTCCAAACTGGCCAAGGACTCCAACACTGTCCTATTGCCTTCCAATCCTGGTGATGTTACCAGTATGGTGGCTCAGGTTAGAGCTCTCTGAGGACCCAGCACAGAGACCAGTGCAGGGGGCTGAGACCCTACCACCCCATGACCACCCACATGCCATAGAAGTCTCAGGTGCTTTGGCCTCCACCTTCTTTTATTCCTCGTAGAGAAGGGATCTCTGAGAAGACACGTCCACACCCTGGCAGACAAGGAAGCTTTGAGCTCCCTTCGTTCTGTAGATAGCTGTGTTAATGTTCCGAGGGTCCCCCTGCCCTGATGATCTGTAAGATTCATAGAGCACTTCTAAGACTGAGGCTTAAGGGAGGAAGAAAAACCAAGCTGTAGCCCCAGCCACACATTTGTCCTTTTAGCCATCAGTGGGCTGGGCTGTGCCTTCTGCCAGTGTCCTCATGGCTCTCTCTGTCTTCTTCTAGGCCATGGGTGTATATGGGGCCCTCACCAATGCCCCGGTGCCACGGGCACAGAACTCGGTCTCCAGCGGGAGCAGCAGAGATGTCAAGGGCACAAATGCAAATCTTGATGAGGAAATTGATCGAGTCAAGCTGAGTTAGGGGAGCTGGGTTTGGCCAGAGAGTCTGGGGTCAGGGAAGCAGCACACCCAGATTCTGGCTTTAGCCTCCCTACTAAGATTTTGGTTTTTATTTTTTTATTTGAACTTACTAATCATGTAATAAACTTAGCAGTGGCAAACCAAAAACTGTCCTCTTTGACTGGTGAGTGAAATTGGGGAAGTCACTGGTGTTTTCCTTGGATGTCTACTTCTATCCCCTAGTCCTATTGGGTCTTGCGGCTGATGCTTCATCAGCAAGGATGAACTTCATGTAGAGTGAAATCATTGTTCCTGTCAAGAGAAATGGGAATAGCGTGGAAGGAGGAAACTAGACCTCTACTGAGCCGCCAGCTTCGGAGTTTAGTCCCTCTCTTGCCAAGTGTAGGGCTGTGTGTTTGAGGCAAGTGTTTGGGGGATTTTACATACAAAGAGGGCTTCCCTGGCAAGGTAATATTCCCCAGTACATAAAGGGCCTTCAGGGGCTGAGGGCCCTTCTCATTCATTCATTCAGAAACATTTATTAATGTGGAACATGGTGGCGTATAGTTGAGATCCCAGCACTTGTAGGTTGAGGCAGGAGGATTGCCATGAGTTCAAGGCCGGCCTGAACTACATAAACCCTGTCTCAAAAAACAAAACTTAATGGTGTCTATTATGGGCCGAGCTCAGGCATTGCAGAGACCCAGTGGTCCTTGCTTTCACAAAATACAAGGTCAGACAGGGAAGACAAGCAGTGATAGACATAAGTGCTCAGGAGGAGGGGATGTAATACTAATCAGAGGGTTCCAGGATGACACATACTACATTTGCACTTAGACATGAAGGGGAGAAGGGAAAGGCCACTTGGGCATTGGGGTGTTAAACTGGCAGAGGAGATTCCAAATGCAAAGGCCCTGAGACAAATCCTGATAATGGCAAGAACAGAGGAAGCTGGGTGTGGTGGTACACTCCTGTAATCCTAGCAGTTGGGAGGCTGAGGCAGAAAGATTGCTGTGAGTTCGAGGCCAACCTGAACTACATGCATGGTGAGACCTTGTCTCAAAAAAAAAAAAAAGCTGCTGTGGACAGAACATAGTTAAGCAAAGAACTGATAGCTAGATAAAGTAGGAAAAGAGGGGCCTAGAGGGTAGACAGGCAGCTGTAGGCTTTTGATTAGATGAACCAAAGAAAAGGTTTTATTTTTTTATTTGAGTTTTTGGTACTGGGAATTGAACTCAGGACCTTGTGCTTGCTAGGCAGGCGCTGTGCCACTGAGCTATGTCCCCAGCCCTTACTTTTTTAACAGTAGCTTTACTGGGATATAATTCACATGCCATACAATTTACCCATTGAAAATGTAAACTTAAAGTAAATTCAGTACTTTTTACCTTAGTCACGCAATTGTGTGATCACCATGGTTTTACTATGTTCCCCCCTTCACTCCCCAAAAATGCATGGTCTGGGTATACCATACTTTATCCATTCATTAGGTACAGACATTTGGTTGGGTTTCTGTCATTTCTCTCAGGTATCTAGAAGCGAAATAGTGAAATTGCTGGGTCACATGATAACTTTAACTTTTTTTCCCTCTTTCTCTCTCTTTTTCTCTATCTCTCTCTCACTGAATTGTCCAGACTGGCCTCAAACTTGCAACTCTCCTGTCTCAGCCTCCCAGACAACAGAGATTACAAGAGTGCACCACCACACCACGGCTGTGTTTAATCTTGTGAGGAACTATTGTTCAACATTCCTTGCTAGTACTAGTAGTTTTTTTCCCACCCCTTGGGATCCCACCCAGGGCATTTCATATGCTAAACAAAGTATCTGCCACCGAGTTACACCTCCCACCTTCCTTTTCTAAAAAAAATTGCAGCCACTCTAGTTGAATTTGAAGGGAGCTCCAGTATTTTTTTTTTTCTCCAGTATTTTCTTTTTTTTTTCCAGTACCGGGAATCAAACTCACGATCTTGGGCTTGCCAGGCAGGCGCTGTGCCGCTGAGCTAAATCCCCAGCCCCGCTCCAGTATTTTCTTGACTGCAAATGATGTTGAGCATCTTTCCATATGATTACTGGCTATTTGTGTATTTCTTAGAAGAATGTCTCGTGAGATCCTTCGCTCATTTAAAAACTGGGTCATTTGATTTTTAAAAATTTATTGAAAGATTCAGTACAAGTCTTTGAAGACGGGAATAATGAAATCTATCAGTTGGAGTCAGCTAAGCAAAAAGTGGAAAATAAGTATTATTTATCCTTATTTTACAGATGATAATGCCCAGTGCGCACAATAAGGGGCAGAGCTAGAGTCCAAGCCCAGGTTGACTCCAGAGGACATGCTCATAGTCCCAGGCAAAGTGGACAGTAGTTGGCTGAACCCACCTGGCCTCGTCCAGTTCTAAATTACAGCACAGGGCGTTCTGAAAACTCGCCCGTCCACACCCCTGGAGGAACTTCCGGCAGGCGCCGGCAGGTGGCGGCAGGGCTCCCTGCGCGACGCTCTATCCGGTGCGCGCATTTCTGTGGTCTCGGGCCGCGACGGGCGGCCGCCGCGCTTCCGGGCGCCGATCCAGGTGAGCCGGGTCTCCCCGTAACCGCCGCTGTCCTACCCCCAAAGCGCGAGACCCTTCCCCGCCCGAGGAGAAGGCGTGCCGTGGAGGGGCGGCGCGCCCAGGCGGAGGCCGGGTCTCCGGGGAAGGAGGCGGAGCCGCGGGGGCGCCGGGGTCCCTGGGGCGGCGGAGGCCGGAGCGGCCCTGGCCTCCCGGAGGCCGAGCGTGGCTCCTGCCCGCCGCCCCGCGCCCCCAGTGTTGGGCACTGGGCGCACGTATCCCTGTGGCTGTGGGCTCTTGCGGCCTCAGGTGCGCTGGTCAGGTCCGAGCCTCGCAGTACGAGTCGGTCCTCCAAAGGCTATGCTTTTTCAGCCACGGGGTCGCCCACTTGTACATATTCAGATTCCTGTGCCCCAGCCAAAGATGCTAATTCAGTGGGTGGAGGGTGGATTCTGGAAATAGCTGTTTGTTTGAGACTGGGTCTCACTATGTGATTCAGGCTGGCCTTGAACTCACCATGTATTCAGGCTGTCCTCGAACTTGCAGCGACCCTTCTGCCTCAGCCTCCTGAGTGCTGGGTGGAAATAACATTTTTTTTCCCAAGGACGTGAATTGTTTTATTCGGTTTTGCATAGGAGACTCTCAGTTTTGCTTGTATGAGTGCTACACTGAATGTTTTAGTAATACTTACTAATACATGTTTGCAGTGTATAATGGTTACATTCATTGTGGGGAGTTGTAAATAACATTTTTTAGCAGCATTTCCAGCTTGGTGCCAACAGTCTTGGGAACCTTCAGAAACACTGACATAACTAGTCAAAGGGAGCATCGGAATGGGTTGGCTGTTAGACTCTTTGTGTCCGAAAAGGCTTCTATGAGGAAGTGACCAGTTGTGTTGCCGAGGGATCAGAATGTCCACTGTTCTTGGGCCCACAGTAATGAATCCTTCTCCCGCCTCCCCAGGATGCAGAAGGTCTCAGTGTTGCTCTTCCTGGCCTGGGTCTGTTTGCTCTTCTATGCTGGCATCACCCTCTTCACCAGTGGCTTCCTTCTCACCCGTTTGGAACTCACCAACTACAGCAGCTGCCAAGAACCCCCAGGCCCTGGGTTCCTGCCATGGGGGAGCAGCGGGAAGCCTGGGGCCTGCTGGATGGCCTCCCGGTTCTCCAGAGTTGTGTGGATACTGATAGATGCTCTGCGATTTGACTTTGCCCGGCCCCAGCGGTCACACGGGCCTGGGGAACCTCCTGTCTCCCTGCCTTTCCTGGGCAAACTAGGCTCCTTGCAGAGGCTCCTGGAGACTCGGCCCCACCACAGCCGGCTCTATCGATCTCAAGTTGATCCTCCCACCACCACCATGCAGCGCCTCAAGGCCCTCACCACTGGCTCGCTCCCCACCTTTATTGATGCTGGCAGTAACTTTGCCAGTCACGCCATACTGGAAGACAATCTCATTAAGCAGCTCAACAGTGCAGGTCAGTACAGGCCCCTCTGGAGGTGAGGAGTACCAAGCACGTTTCTTCCTAAAAAGCGGAAGAGCCAGAACTCTAGGTGCCTAGCTGTGTGCTTGGCTATAATGTCTTGGGACTGAGGGGGAAAGAGACCAGAACCTTGTGTGTAAGGAACTCAGTTCGGGGGACACAGGTTTTGTTTTAAGTGAAGTTTCTAATCTGCCTGAAATGTTGCATTGTATTGTTGGAGAACTCAGTAAAGGGGCAGGGGAGAAACAAGAGGATAAGGATCTCGGTGCATAAGTCTGGAGAACAGACTGACTTGGGCGAAGCAAGATATCCCCACTGAAAACAGCTCAGCAGAGATAGCCAGCAACTGAGAACCAGCTGGTGATCCTGTGGGATAGAAGGGAGAAGTCTGCGTGAAGTGTAGTTGTCGGGGACAGCTTCCTGAGGGGAATTTTTAGCCTCGACGCCTCAGGAGTTGCTGGGTGGAATAGCTGTGCAGAGTTGGGGTTTCGGGTAGATCTTTGAGTCTCCTCTCCTCCCCTGCCTTGCCTCCTCCTCAGGCTCTGACCGCCTCCTGTTTCCCTGTAGGAAGGCGCATAGTCTTCATGGGAGATGACACTTGGAGAGACCTTTTCCCTGGAGCTTTTTCCAAAGCATTCTTCTTCTCATCCTTCAATGTAAGAGACCTGCACACAGTGGACAGCGGCATCCTGGAGCACCTGTACCCCACTGGTGAGCGTGGGCCCAGAGCACCGGACTCCCCAACTGAGACTGGGAACTGGGGAGAGCTGCTTTAGTCCTCAGAGCTTGAACGTTTCATGGGTGCGCAGCCTGGGCTATGTCCCTGGGCTGGAAGGGTGTCCAAGCCCAGCCGGGGCTAAGGGGTGGGCCTTGGTCCCCCTGCTCAGTGTTCTCCCCTTCACAGTGGACAGTGGTGAATGGGACGTGCTGATTGCTCACTTCCTGGGTGTGGATCATTGTGGCCACAAGCATGGCCCTCACCACCCTGAAATGGCCAAGAAACTTAGCCAGATGGACCAGGTGATCCAGTGAGTGTGGGGCCTTGGCTGGGGACGTGGGGTTTGTGTGAGAATCTCAGGCTATGTGGTCTCAGGAGAAAACGTCCTTATTTGAAGCCTCTTTCTTCGTTGAATTTGGTCTTTTTCAGGCCTTTTTTAGAGCTAAGGGACTCACCTGTCTTGAGTAACTCTGTCTGGCTTTGGGCAACAGGGTTATAGCCAAAGAGAAGTCTCTTTGCCAGGTCTAGGTCCTGCTAACAGAAGTCAGAGTTGAGGCGAGTGAGTCCCTGAGGCGAACCTCTATCTGTTCCTACCCTGACATGTTTCTTGGCCTCCAGGGGCCTTGTGGCGCGCCTGGAGAACGACACCCTGCTGGTGGTGGCTGGGGACCATGGGATGACCGTGAACGGGGACCATGGGGGGGACAGTGAGCTGGAGGTCTCGGCTGCACTCTTCCTGTACAGCCCAACGCCCCTCTTCGCCCGTGCGCCACCAGAGGTGAGGCCTGAGGGTGCCGCCTCTTGTTTCACCTGCTCAGCCCGCATCACGACCACACTGTCTCCCTGGAGCCCTCTGTTTCAGTCTCCCGAACCCCTGATCCTGGGTGTCCTCCACATGTTTCCTACATAGATCCCGAAGTCTGCAATCTCAAACGGTGACTTCAGCTTTGTGATGAACCCAGTGACCCCTGTCCTTTCCCTGTAGGAGCCAGAGGTGATCCCTCAAATCAGCCTTGTGCCGACACTGGCCCTGTTGCTGGGCCTCCCCATCCCGTTTGGGAACATTGGGGAGGTGGTGGCCGAAGTATTCTCAGGGGGCAAGGACTCTCAGCCTGACGGCTCTGTGCTAGCCCAAGCCTCGGCTCTCCATCTCAATGCCCAGCAAGTGAGTAAAGGGCTGGGCTTCCAAGTGGTTAGTGCAGGGTGGAGTGGCTGGGTGTGGTGGCACATGTCTATAATCCCAGCTCTTGTGAAGCTGAGGCAGGAGGATTGCAGCAAGTTTGAGGCCAGCCTGAACTACTAGTGAGACCCTGTCTCAGAAACAAAAAAGAAACAAAAACCCCCTAGGGTGAATGTGAGAGAAGCGTAGTGACCACGTCACTGGCCTGTGCCCAGTCTTCATCCTAACTTCTGTGGCCGTGCCGCCCTCATTATCTCTGTCTTCTCCATGTTGGGATGATCGGGGTCTCTGATGTCCGGGTACCCCCTTTGTCGTACCCACCCCTGCCTCTGCACTGGTTTGTATCTGTGACTGGCTCCTTGCGGCCTCTGGCCTTTCCCGTCAGGTGTCCCGATTCCTTCACGCCTACTCAGCCGCCACTCAGGACCTCCAAGTGACGGAGCTTCATCGGCTGCAGAACCTCTTCTCCAAGGCCTCTGCTAACTACCAGCGGCTTCTGCAGAGCGCGCCTGGGGCTGAGGCAGCGCTGCAGACAGTGATTACTGAGCTGCAGCAGTTCCTGCGGGGAGCCCGGGCCGTGTGCATCGAGTCTTGGGCCCGCTTCTCTCTGGTCCGCATGGCTGGGGGCGCTGCCATCTTGGCTGCTGCCTGCTTTCTCTGCCTGCTGGCACCCCAGTGGGCAGCTCCCCCGGCCTCCCCTCCCCGCCCTCTGCTGCTGCCCCCTGCGGCCTGGGCCCTCGCTGGGGCCACTCTGTGTGCTGGGTTATCGGCAGCGACTGGGCTGAAGCTGGATCTAGTGGTTCTAGGGGCTGTGGCTGCGGCAGGCTCGCTCCTGCCCTTTCTGTGGAAAGCCTGGGGTAGCTGGCGGTCCAGGAAGGCCCTGGCGACCCTGCTTCCCATCCCTGGGCCTGTCCTGTTGCTCCTGCTCCTCCGCTTGGCCACCTTCTTCTCTGACAGTTTCGTCGTAGCTGAGGCTAGGGCTACCCCCTTCCTGCTAGGCTCCCTCGTCTTGCTCCTGGTTGTCCAGCTGCACTGGGAGGGCCAGCTGCTGGCCCCCAAGCTGCTCACAGTGCCCCGCCTTGGCTCTTCTACCTCAACAGGCCCCCCACGGCACAGTGGTGCATGTGCCCTGAGGCTTGGCGTTGGGTTGCTTTTGTGTACAAGGCTAGCTGGACTCTTTCATCGCTGCCCCGAAGAGACCCCTGCTTGCCACTCCTCTCCCTGGCTGAGTCCTCTGGCATCCATGGTGGGTGGTCCAGCCAAGAACCTGTGGTATGGAGCTTGTGTGGGGGCCCTGGTGGCCCTGTTAGTTGCTGTGCGCCTGTGGCTTCGCCACTATGGTAATCTCAGGAGCCCGGAGCCCCCGGTGCTCTTTGTGCGCTGGGGGCTGCCTCTAATGGCGTTGGGTACCGCTGCCTACTGGGCGTTGGTGTCGGGGGCAGATGAAGCACCCCCACGTCTCCGGGCCCTGGTTGCTGGGGCGTCTGTTGTGCTTCCTCGGGCTGTGGTGGGGCTGGCTGCTGCGGGCCTCGTGCTGCTGCTCTGGAAGCCTGTGACGGTGCTGGTGAAGGCTGGCACAGGTACCCCAAGGACCAGGACTGTCCTCACTCCCTTCTCAGGGCCCCCCACTTCTCAGGCTGACCTGGAGTATGTGGTCCCTCAAATCTACCGACACATGCAAGAGGAGTTCCGGGGCCGGCTAGAGAGGACCACGGCTCAGGGCCCCTTGACTGTGGCTGCCTATCAGCTGGGAAGCGTCTACTCGGCTGCCATGGTCACAGTCCTCACCTTGTTGGCCTTCCCTCTCCTGCTGTTGCATGTGGAGCGCATCAGCCTTGTGTTCCTGCTTCTGTTTCTGCAGGGCTTCCTGCTCCTGCACCTGCTTGCGGCAGGGGTCCCCATCACCACCCCTGGTAAGTGCGCGTCTCCGCCCTGATTGACACGGGGTGGTAGTGATGTGAGTCCAGCCCTGTTTGTTTCCGGGAAGTGCTGCCTCTTGTCTGTCCCGTGTTGACACGGGGTGTCCTGCCCCACACAGTTGGGAGGGCCTTCTGATGTCCTCTTATCTGGTGCAGCCATGCGAATCCCTCCCTTTGGCTCTTAGAGTTCATGGAGAAAAAAGAATCTTTTAGGACTGCAGTAGTTTCTTATGGAAAGGCTGCACTCTCATTTTCTGATTTTCCAGTCGTAGAGGCAGCAAATTACAACTATATTGTGGCATTGACATAAAGTTGTGTGTGTGTGTGTGTGTGTGTGTGTGTGTGTGCACGCACCACAGAGGGGTAGGGCGATGGGAGCGCGGTCTGTAGGGAGGCTGGCTGTGGGCTGTGGGCACCTGAGTGTGTATGAGGGTGGCACTGAGGTGGTGGGAACGTGATTGCGGGGCAGTGGCCTGTGGGTCAGGGAACAGATGTGATTGTAAGAGGCGCACCTTCCCCCAGGGCCTTTCGCTGTCCCGTGGCAGGCTGTCTCGGCGTGGGTCCTCATGGCCACCCAGACCTTCTACTCCACAGGCCACCAGCCTGTCTTTCCCGCCATCCATTGGCATGCGGCCTTCGTGGGGTTTCCAGAAGGTCATGGCTCTGCTACCTGGCTCCCGGCTGTGTTAGTGGGAGCCAACACGTTTGCCTCCCACCTGCTCTTTGCAGGTAACTCGTGCTTCCCCTCTTTGGTTTTGTTTACTGTGGTTTTATGAGAAGAAGGGAGAACTGCCGGGTGTGGGTGGGAAGATGTGCTTTTGTTAGGTCCTTGGCATCCCTTGGTTTGCAGCTGAACCAGCTGGGTGGGTTTGGAAGTAGGGTGGCTCATCCTGCATTGACACCAGCCTTGCCTTCCTCCGAGGCAGTAGGTTGCCCACTGCTCCTGCTTTGGCCCTTCCTGTGTGAGAGCCAAGGGCTGAGGAAGAGGCGGCAGCCTGCGGGGAGTGAGGCCGAGGCCAGGGTTGGGCCTGAGGAGGAGGAGGAGCCGCTGATGGAGATGCGGCTCCGGGATGCACCTCACCACTTCAACGCAGCGCTCCTGCAGCTGGGCCTCAAGTACCTCTTTGTCCTTGGCGTCCAGGTGGGTACTGGGTAAAGGTCAGGGCGCTGGTGGTCTTTTCCCATGTGTGCTCTGTCTCTTTTCTTTATTTTTTTGAGACAGGGTTTTGCTTTGTAGTTCAGGCTGGCCTCAAATTTGCATCAGTCCTTCTGCCTTCGCCTCCTGAGTACTGGCTTTACAAGCATGTGCTACTGTACCTGGCTGTTTTCTTTTTGGTTTTTTTTTTGAGATGGTCTTGCTGTGTAGTTCACACTGGCCTCAAACTCACGACAGTCTTCCTGCCTCAGCCTCTTGAATACTGGGATTATTGACCTTCTTTCAGCTCCAGGAGAGCTGGGCACAGTGGAGCACACCTGTAATTCCAGGTACTTGGAAAGCTGAGGCAGGAAGGATCCTAAATTTGAGGCCAACCTGGGCAATATCAGGAAGATTTTAAGGCCGGGCGTGGTGGCGCATGCCTGTAATCCCAGCACTCGGGAGTCTGAGGCAGGATTTTTGTGAGTTTGAGACCAGCCTGGGCTACAAAGTGAGCTCAAGGCCAGCCTGAACTGCATAGCAAGTCCCTGTCTCAAAAAGACCAAAAAAAAGGGGTGGGGATTTAGTTCAGCAGCATAGCTCCTGCTTGGCAAGTGTGAGGTCGTGAGTTTGATTCCCAGTACCGGGAAAAAAAAAAAGATTCTGTCACAAAACAACCCTGGTTGAGAACCATGACTGAGGTAGAGATAAGGGAAGGTTGATTCCCAAGTTCAATGATCTTAAATGGTAATTTTGAGACTTGAGTCTGGGTTTCTTTTTCCTAGTCCTGGATCATTTCCTTGCTACAACTTGGGCTCTGCTAGTTGCAAGTGGGGATTACTCCATTAACGGAGGATATACTAGAAAGACTGAGGTAGTGGCCAGTATTCTTTCAGAAACTATGGTCATACAGCTTCCTCGTCTCCTCCAGAGGCTGAGGATGGGATGCAGATTTCTCTCTTTACCCTGGGAGGTGTGACGTGAGCGTTAGCATCGCAGATGAGTAGTGACCACTGCATCAGTGGCTAAGGCAAGACCTGGACTTCTTAGCTGGACATAGTGGTGCACGCCTGTAATCCTGGCACTCGGGAGGCTGAGGCAGGAGGACTCAAAGAGTTTGAGGCCAGCCTGGGCAACACAGTAAGTTCAAAGTCAGCCTGAACTCCATAGTGAGATCCTGTCTCAAAAAAAAAAAGGAAAAAAGAAGCGGGGCGTGGTGATACACACCTGTAATCCCACTCAGCACTCAGGAGGTTGAGGGAGGAGGATCGTTGTGAGTTGGAGACCAGCCTGAACTGCATAGTGAGACCTGTCTCCAAAACACACACAAAAAAAAAAAAAAAATTGGACTTCCTAACTCCTACCCGAGTTTTTTCTAGTGATATATTGCTTTCTCTCTTTCTTTGTGTGTGTGTGTTTCTCTTTTTCTTTTTTTTTTTGGAGACAGGTTTCTCTATGTAGTTCAGGCTGGCCTTGAACTTGCTTATGTAGCCCAGGCTGTTCTGGAACTCACAGCGCTTCTCCTGCCTCAGCTTCTTGAGTGCTGGGGTCGCAAGTGTGTGCCACCACACCCAGCCCTTCCTTCCATTTTTTCACAGAGGCCTGTAGTACCTCTCCTTTTGCCCTGCTTCCTCCCCTTCCCAAATAACGGAGCCCTTTCTCTTCAGATTCTGGCTTGTGCCTTGGCAGCCTCCATCCTCCGCAGGCATCTCATGGTCTGGAAGGTGTTCGCCCCCAAGTGAGTGGATTTCCCTGAGAAATGGGCGGTTGGGAGGGAGAGGCTTGAAGCCAAGTATGAACATCCAGGGTGGACACAGTTTTGTTTCCATAGGGAAGAGGCACTAGACCTGCTCTCTGTCCCCTACGGAACTTGACTTTTCTTTGCAGGTTCATTTTTGAGGCCATCGGCTTCATTGTGAGCAGCGTGGGACTTCTCCTGGGCATAGCTTTAGTCATGCGTGTGGACGGTGCCGTGAGCTCTTGGTTCAAAAGACTAGTTCTGGCCCAGCAGAGGTAGCCAAGGCTGTGGATGCTGGTACTCCGCTCCAGGGGCAGCTGGAGAGGAGCCTGGCCTGGCCTGCACAGGCGCTGCATGACCTGCCAGAGAGGCTGAGCCATGCCTCTTACGGCCACACAGTCAGGGGCTGCAGGCTGTGGGCTTTATTTCAGAGTTCAGTTCACAGTGGAGCCTGCTCCGTCTTGCCTGACAAGGCTGCCTCTGATGGATGAAGCGGGGGGCCTCCAAAGTGGGATAAAATAGTAACGTAAGCACGCGTGCCTGAGGTCTAGGGGGGACACCCTCTTGTCCCATAAGGGCTGGAAGTGTCAGGCTCTGCTTCCACAAGCACAGACGGGACCGTTCGTCTTCGGCTGGGCTGGCTGGACTTGAGAGCCTCTGGCACGAGGTTGAGCTCACTGCCCCCATCTCTGAGTGTTCCACCTGCCATTTCCTTTGCCACTCGACGTTTCTCAAGTTCTTACTGTTCGGCTGGTAGCAGCGGGGACTGAAAATACAAGCCCAGGCCTCCTGGAGCACACAGCCTTTTCCTGTCTGAGGCCTGAAGCAGTGCGGTGTCCCTGCCTTTCCACGGCCTTTCACTGTACGACACCCTTCGCCCTTCAGGTCTATGGAAGCCTCCCTAGTGTCCCAACTTGTGCTGCCTTTGTCAGACCCACTCAGCCGTCTTACAGAGCATTTTGCCTGGTCCCATTGATTACTGTTGACTTGAAGCCAAAACTATGAATAGAATGCTTCTCTTGGGTGTTTCCTATGCCTTATGTTCACCCTACACTCCAGTGTCAATTGACTTGTTCTGTTTTTTGGAGTACTGTAGTAGGGCTTGATATTAGGCAAGCCCTCTCCATTGAGCTGCCTCCCCAGCCTTTTTATTTCATTTTGATAACAAGGTCTCACTAAGTTATCTAGATTGGCCTCAAATTTGGAATCCCCCTGCTTCAGCCTCACTAGTAGCAGAGATTATAGGTTTGTGCCACCTTGCTGGGCCCAAGAGTCAGATCTGAAGTGCTGATAAAAGGTCTTTTAAGAGCCAGGCGCAGTGGCGCACACCTGTAATCCCAGCATTTGGGAGGCTGAGGCAGGAGGATCATTGCAAGCTCAAAGCCAGCCTGAACTGTATAGGCAGACCCAGTCTCACAAAAGACAATAAAGAAAGAGAGAGAGAAAGGAAAGGAAGGTAGGAAGGAAGGAAGGTAGGAAGGTCTATCTGGGGTTAGGGATGTGGCTCAGTAGCACAGTGCCCCTGCCTGGCAAGCGCAAAGTCCTGAATTCGATTTCCAGTACCAAAAAAAAAAAAAAAGTCGTTCTGGAGTTATCCAAAAGAAGAGTTGGAAGAAGCTCTAGGAAGAAAGGTCAGGATTGCAATTTGAGTGTAGCCAAGTCTAGAGATGGGATTGTTAAAAGAAGAATATACAAACCATGGGACAGGCAGGTGTGGTGGCCCACATCTGTAATCTCAGCATTTGAGAGCCTGAGTTTGAGGCCAATCTGGGCCGTGTAGTGAGTTTGAGACCAGCCTGAGCTACCTAGTGAGACCTTGTCTCCAACAACAACAAAAAGGTTGTCTTAAAAAAAAAAAATGGTCTTTTTTTTGAGGCAGGGTCCCACTAGGTAGTTCAGGCTGGTCTCAAATTCACTGTGTAGCCCAAGGTGGCCTCAATTTGTGGCAGTCCTCCTGCCTTGGCCTCTGACTACTGGATTTACAGGTATGTGGCACTCGAGCCAGCATAAGAATTCTTACCCTGGCTTTTACTTGACATCAGAGTTCATTACACACTAATTTATTGACTCTTTGAAGAGATTTTTTTTTTATACTGTTAGGATAAATAAAAAGTGGCCATTTTTCCTCTGCTTTGATACTGCAATCAACATAGAAGACTTCTGTGACCTCAAAAGCTGTGTGATGGTGGTATATATCTATAATCCCAGCACTCCAGCAGGCGGAGGCAGGAGTGTCACATTCAAGCCTAACATGGACAGTTTAGCACCTTAGTCAAACCCTGTCTCCAATTTTATGTATCTCTCTATATATATCCATTGAACTCATGATTGTCCTCCTGCCTCAGCCTCCTGTGTGCTGGGATTATAGGCATATAATTCTTGGCCTTGTCTCAGAAAATAAAAAAAAGGGCTGGGGATTTAGTTCAGTCTTCAGTATTGGGAGAAAATAAAATGATGGGACTTCCCTCCTACTAGCAAGGAAGCAATTTTTAAAAAAGTTTTTAGCAGTTTTCTCGTGGGTACTGGTACAGTATCTTCTCATTCAGTTCAATTGTTACTGACTGCCTGGCATTCAGATGCAGAAGACGGCGGCTCTGTCTCCTAGCCCCCCAGAGCCTCAGATTGCAAGTCTCAGGTGGTTTTACCCATTGCTTTTCGTGTTTTTTGTGGGTTTTTTTTTTTTTGGTCTTTTTGAGACAGGGTCTCGCTGTGCAGTTCAGGCTGGCCTTGAGCTCACTTGGTAGCCCAGGCTGGTCTGGAACTCGCAATGATCCTCCTGCCTCAGCCTCCCGAGTGCTGGGATTACAGGCGTGCACCACCATGCCCAGCTTTACCCATTGTTTTGACAGGGTGGCTGTAAACTCTGTTCCCACAGCCTCCTCGGGGTCAGTTGGCTTGCGAGGCTCACAGAACTCAAGGAAACATTTACCTTTACTAGTTTATTATGCTGTGTTTGGGGACAGGGATCTCACTTGCTCAGGTTGATCTTGAACTCCTGGCTTAAGTGATCCCTCCACTTCAGGCTTCTGAGGAGTTTAGGTTACAGGTGCAAGCCCCCAAGCCCAGCTCTGTTTTCTCCATGATGTCCTTTGGAACACAGACACTTTAAGCTAGGCATGGTGACACAGCACTCGGCGGCTGATGCCGGAGGATTACAAGACTGAGCCCAGTCTGAGCAATATAACTCTTTTTAGGGAGACATTGTCTCAAAATAAAAAATGAAAAAGAACTGAGCGTGTAGCTAGGTGAGAAGCCCCTGGGTTCAGTTTCCAGTAACATCCACACAAAACAAACATAAATTTAGATAAAGTCCAATTCAGCCTATTTGGTTGTTGCTTGTGCTTTTGGTGTCATACTGATACAGGCCCTCCAAATGATATAGAGGAAGTAAGTAATTCCCTACCAGCTAGATGTCCGATTTGCTGAGTTCATGTTTCCCAAAGTCAAAGAAAGAATTCTAAGGAACAACCAAGGTTAAGAGTAGGCACATTTACTGGGGAAAAGGACGGGAATAGGGAGTAGCTCCTGAGAGACAGGGGCCTCTCAGATGGGCTGCCCAGGAGCCCACGTCTCTGAGAAAGTCTAGAGCAAAATCCCAAGATGGGTGCAACTTGAGTCAGAACTGTAATCAACCAATACAGTAACGAGGACAGCCTCGTGGCTAATATTGGTCCAATAGTAGCAGGGGCATATGGATGACATCATCAACCCTGGTCGATAATCTACAGTCTTAGGTCTTTAGTCTTAGTAGTGTTAGTTTTAGTGGTAATCTCAAACTTCCATTTATCCCTTAGGGAAGTGTGCACAGCTGGCCACTGTGACTTTAATCTTCTGATGCACCTCCAGCCATAGTCCTGATGACTCCCTTGAGGACCCAGCCCTGCTTGACTGCCTATAATATTTCTACCTTATTTAGCTGTCTATAATAACATGCAAGAAACCATCGCCAGATGCAACATTTAGTTTTAGAACATTTCTATCCCCCCATCCAAACTACCTCACACTGTTTTATAGCCAGCCTACTCTAAGGCACTGATCTATTCTTGTTTTTTTTTTTTTTTTTTTTTTTTTTTTTGTCTTGTTGAGACAGGGTCTCCCTATGCAGTTCACACTGGCCTTGAGCTCACTTTGTAGCCCAGGCTGGTCTCAAACTATCCCCCACCCCCACCCCCACCCCCGTACCGGGAACTGAACTCCCACCCTCGCGCTTGCCAGGCAGGCGCTGTGCTGCTGAGCTACATCCCCAGCCCCTTGATTTCAAACTCTCAACGATCCGCCTGCCTCAGCCTCCTGAGTGTTGGGATTACAGGCGTGCACCACCACGCCTGGCCCAATTTATATTATTACTTATGCTTTTAATGTACTTAAGAACTCATGGTGGTGCACGCTTGTAATCACATCATTTAGGGTTATTTCTTTTTTTTCTTCCTGAGACAAGGTCTCATTATGTAGTTCTGACTTTAAACCTCATGACCCTCCTCCTGCCTCATCCTCCCAAGTGCTGGGATTGCAGGCGTGTGTCACTACGCCTAACATAGGAATTAAGTCTTCGTGAGCCAGATACGGTGACACACACCTGCAATCCCAGCACTCTAGGAGGTCTCGGCAATTGCAACTGCGTTCTAGCCCAGCCTGGGCGATTTAGCGGTTTAATGAGACCTTGCATCCGAATTTATTTTATTTTATTTTATGTTTTGTCTTTTTGAGATACGGCCTCACTATGCAGTTCAGGCTGGCCTTGAGCTCACTTTGTAGCCCAGGCAGGTCTGGAACTTGCAATGATCCTCCCACCTCAGCCTCCCGAGCGCTGGGATTACAGGCCTTCGCCATCACGCCCCTGGCTCTTGCATCCGAATTTAAAGAGGGCTGGGGACGTAGCTTCCAGGGAAGGTTCAGGATTTAACCTCAGTTACTGCTAAAAAAAACCACATCCAAGCTAGGCGCGGCGGGCACGCCCATAACCCCAGCACTCGGGAGGGATCAGTGGGAGTTTGAGGCCAGCCTACATATCGAATTCAAAGCCAGTCTGGACTACACGGCCAGACCTCATCAACAAAGACCAAAACTCAAAACAACCCCAAAGCACGTTGCCAAAACCAGGGTTCAGAAGTTTTCATTTTTTGGCTCTTATAGTTAATTTTCAACCCATTTTCGGTTGTTTTCTTGAGGGGGTAGGATAGAGGTCCCCCCGCGGCTATGCAGTTCCCCTACTTCCACTTCTGAAAAGAGAAAGTGGAATTTCAGGGACCCTGGTCACCCGTCGGCGCCTGCTGGAGATACTGCGCTCGCGGCGTTTTCCGGGCCACACTAGGCGCCCAGCATGCACTGCGCGGCGGCACGTGGGGGACCGGGTGGGGAAGGGGCGGCCCGGGCGGTGCTGGAAGGAAAGGGTGGGCCGCGCGGGCCCTCCCGAGAGCTCCCGAGAGTTCCCGAGGGCTCCCGAGCACCCTCGCTGACACCCAGCGCCAGCCGAACGACGACTCGGCCGCCGAAACGCGCCGCCCCACCTCTGGCGGGTCGGACTCGTGGCTTCCCGCGGAAACCGACTCAAGGGGACCAGCCGCGGCCGAGATTCGCAGCAGAGCGGCCGAGTTCCCGCGCGGGCGCCCGCAGGTGGGGACCGGGCGGGCGGGTCCGGCGGCGGGAAGGGCCCGGCCACCATGTCCCGCCCGAGCCTCCTGGACGCCTCCGCTGCGCGCGCCAGCTGTCTAGACTTATGGAGGGAGGAGAACGACCGGCTTGTGCGACGCGCCAAGGTAAAGCGCCGCCGACCCCTCGCCCTGCAGCTCTGCGCGCCGGAAAGCTGGTTTGCGGTGGGTTTGCCCCCGCCGATGGGGAGGAGCGGGGCTTGCTCTTAACCTCCCCCCAGAATCAGAAACGACGCACGCCC